GACTTTGGAGTGAGCCAGGAGCACACTCCTTTTCTCTTGCAGCCACCAAGAGGCAGGGAGTCCCATCTGTTGCCAGAAGTTTCCTGGTTCTACCTGGCTCGCAGTCGCTCAGACCCAAATAAACACACAGACGCTTATATTAATTAAAACTGTTTGGCCTAATGGCTCAGGCTTCTTGCTAGCTAGATATTACACTTAAATTAACCCATAATTCTTATTTATGTTTAGCCACGTGGCTTGGTACCTTTTCTCAGTTCTGCCTTCACGTCTTGCTTCTCATGGTGGCGGCGGCAGCTGGCAGCATCTCCTGACTCAGCCTTCCACTTCCCAGCATTTCCTCTCTCCTTATCCTGCCTACACTATACTTCCTGCCTGGCTACTGGCCAATCAGCATTTTATTTATCAATCAATCAGAGCAACACCTTCACAGCATACAGAATCCACAGCATCCATCCTTCAGACCCACTTTCTGTTTGTCACAATCTGGACCAATCATCCACTAAGCTTGACCTTGACTGGGGGGAAAAAAACCCACTGAAACAGAGTGAGTGGATTTGGCTTCCTGTGCTGTGCACATCTTCTCAGCAAGCAGGAAGGCTGTGGGGGTGGGTTGTCTGCTCTGGATGGAGCAGGTGGGGAAGGGCAGGGGCTCTGCAGCTTAACGGCAAAAGGCAGGAGTTGGTGATTCACGCGCGCGAGAGGAAACACATGCGCCTAGCCGCGGCACAGAGATAATTCATTCCCACTCAGCTCTGAAAGCCATGGAAATTTTAATAAATGCAATTCCATTCAAATGAACAAATATTTTAAAACATGAAGTTATTTAATCTACCACTGAAGAACACTCACTGTCTTCAACAGCTCGTCACAAGCCTGGGCGTCCCCTCAAAGCCTGCCATGTGGGTACAGGCCCCAACTCACAGGTGAAGAAACCGAGAAGGGATGAGTCACCTCATCGTCGGCTGTCAGGTGGCAAGCAGGTGGCACAGAATGGCTGGGTCGGTAGAGCTCGAAAGTGTGATCTCAGACCCAGAACCATCAACATGGCCTAGGCACATGCTGGAAACCACATTAGTAAGTTCCAACCAAGACTCAGCGGATACCCTGGGGACCTCACATCTATTTGTTCAAGTGCTCCTTGGGATGGTGTGGTTGGGACGGCTCTCTCTGGCTTCAGGGGGTAAGCGATGCCCATCTGACTGCTTTAGTTCCCTTTCTCCTGCGGGCACCTTGACCTGCCAAGCCTGGCACTGGGTTTAGAAATGTGTAAAACTGGAAGCAACCTGAGCCTCCAGCCGTGAGAGCTATGGGATCGTGCAGCATGGCTGCTATGCGGCAAAAAGGTGGCTGGTGAAGGATGTACGGCACGGCACAACGGGTTTTGGTTCCGCCCAAGGCTTTCCCCAGGGTCAGCATGAGGCATCCTGATCCTAGAACCACCTCGGCCCTGAGCAAATGGGGACACATGGCCACCCAAGGTGTAACTGCTGTTAATGCTGCAGGCAGAATTGTTCTGCTCTGTCCTCTCTCTGGGCAGGGAGTAGCATGGTACTTCACTTCTCTTGAAGCTAGGTGACCATACGACTTTGAAACCTGAGGGGAAATGACTGTCCTTCCCAGACAGCGTTCCTGGTGGTCCGTGCCAAGATGGCACCTACCAAGATGGCTGAGTCCCTGAGTTCCTGTGACAGAGACCCTTATTCAACTCCCTCCATGGTAGCATAAGGCATGCCCTTCGTTGCAAGTGTTCCTGGGAAGGTGTGGACAAAGGTCTACCTATCCCAGACAGGGAACCAACGACAAAGAATGAATGCCACCGAAGTCTAGTCTAGTTGGTGGCCCAATGCATTTATTGGGGTTACTTACAGGGGTGTGGGTGAAGAGTTACTGACAGGGACAGAAATGACCCAAAGACAGCTGCATCACCAAAGCCCACCCCAGCATGGGTGACAGCTCACACAGCTGGAAACCTGGAGCTCAGTGCACAGCCTGCAGGCAGCTGGTTGGGCTCGAGAGTGTCCTTTCCAGGTAGCTCAGTTGGTCCAAGCCTCTTCCAGGTCACTCATCTGGTCTCCGCCTCTTTTAGGTGGCTCAGCTTGGAGGGCAGGTCTTACTGCTAGTAGATACTAAAGGAGGGGCCTAGAGACCCCAGTCAGTTTCAGGGACTTCCTGAAGCTTTTGAGTAGTCCCTGAAGCCTTTGAGTGGTTTGCTTCTGAACTTAAGGGGGCTGCCTGACAGGATGGAACCTTTCGTCTCTCTTTAGAATAGCCTGTGTCTTAAGGAGCTTCCCTCCAGGATGGAACATTTTATCTCGCAGGAAATTGCTCCACAACAGTAAGGGATTGGGACTTGTTACTGCAGGATGCCCTCACTTCCTCTGACTGGTTAGTCCTGTGGGACGTGGGGATCCACAGGACGAAGGCAGACCACCAAATTGTATCCGCAGTACTACAGCGGAGACCTAACTCACTACATGTGTGGGCGTGCTGGACAGGTTGGGAAATGCTGGCAATATCAGGTATAGTAAAGGAAATCTCCTGACTTTTATTTTCTTCTCTATTACAGTGTCCAATTTTCTACATGGAGAATGTCTTATAATTTTTTTTTGGATGGTGGATGTTTTATTTAAAAAATAATTTCTTTGCAGCAGAGATGGGTCCTTTCTGGGCCTTTACTCAGGGGATAGCCTCTATGGCAGTGTCACAACCCCTATGGGGGGGTCGAATAGCCCTTTTACAAGGGTCACGTAAGAGCATCGGAAAACACAGATATTTACATTAGGACTCATAACAGTGGCAAAATCATAGTTATGAAGTAGCAATGAACATAATTGTATGGTTGGGGGGGGTCACCACAACATGAGGGACTGCATTGGAAAGGTTGAGAACCACTGCTTTAGGGAGATGGGATGGCTAGACTTTAGCCTCGGAGGATGGGCAGGCTGTGGAGGTCTATTGGATGGGAGTGGTCCTGTCTCCCTGGAGGCTGCTGGGAGGAAACGATATGTTCCCAAGATGAAGGAATCTTCTTCCTTTGGCTTCCTCAAGGGGGCAAGTGTGTTGGTGCCTTAACAACGGTGAGCTTTTGTTTCCTCTGGAAAGAAGGAAGGAAGGAAGGAAGGAAGGAAGGAAGGAAGGAAGGAAGGAAGGAAGGAAGGAAGGAAAGGAGGAAGGGAGGAAGGGAGGAAGGGAGGAAGGGAGGAAGGGAGGAAGGAAGGATGGCAGGCTGTTGTTACTGGCTAAGACATCCTTGGATGGGGCTGGGGTTAAATTGGAGATGGGACGGAGCACCTTGGAGCCAGGTGCACAGCACTTGACTCTCCATGAGGGAAGCCTCAGACCTCTACGCTGTTGTACCAGAAGCTGAGCTGTGACCACATTATTGGGGCAAGAGAAAGGATGGAGTCTTTGGGACCAGCTGGGCTGGCACTCTATGGCACAGGGTAACTGTCCCTGCATTGGAGGATGTAGGAGGAGGAATGGGGCATGCTGGCAGAGGCCCTGGCGGGGTGGCTGATATGTGCTTGGCATCTTGGGCTGCAGCATCTGGCCAAGGTTGGGTGGACTGGGCTGTCTGTGCCTAATGTGGAGGAACACTGGATCTTCTAGAAACGAAGGGGAGGCTGAGTGAGGAGGTTCTACTGGGAACCGTAGAATTTCAGAGGCCGAGGAGGGGGATCGCCGTGAGGTGAGGCTAGCCTGGGTTACAGAGTGAGACCCTATCTCAGAAAGCTGTGACCTCAATATTCAAGAAGCTGAGGCAGGAGGACTGCCCATGAGTTCTAGACCAGCCTAGACTCTGTTTCAAGCAACCCAAACCACAAAACAATCCTCTTAAGAAAGTGAAAATCAAGGGACCTTTCTAGGGTCATTAGTGACAGGGTTGTTAAGGCTACTCACCACAGCCTTTAAGTTGAGAGAAGCCAGTGGGCTTGGGAGGGGCCAGGGACTTCTGAGGCCCATGGAAATTCTACTTCTTCCTTGGGGCTGTCCTGAGCCAGCAGGTCAGCTGTAGACTCAGTCCCAGGATTGCAGCTGGGAATCCCCGGCTTCCAGTGGCAGCAGATGAGTTGGCACGGCCCAGAGCCACGCCGTTGGCCATTGGGAAGCCGGGATTGCAGATCAGGTATGCAATTACTTACAATATGCCATCAGGCCAGGGCAGGGTGGCCAAGAAAGGGAGACAGGACAGGATCAGGAGAGGACTAGTTGGAGGACGGGGGTGGGGGTTGGGGGGTTGGGGGGGTTGGGGGGGGTTACAGCAAAGGAAGGGGAGGGCTTCCTGTCTAGCCTAGATGACAGTTCCAATAGGGGGTCCTGCAGCCCCCTCCACAGACTGTGACCTGAGCCTGGCCCTGTACCAGGCTGTGGGGGAGACTGGAGGCCACCTGACATTCAGGCTGCTGCTACCCCGCCGCCATCTTCCTTCTGTACCTGCCAGTCCCCTCCTCCCCACCCTCCCCCATGGCTTCCTTAATCCATCCTTATGGAGTATCCTCAGAGGGGCTCCGGATACCGCCCCACAGTCTAAGGCTGTGCATGCTTGCCTGGATGGGCCTCTCCGTTGCTTTCCATATCCCGTTGTTCCAAGGTAGGTCCCTGCTGTCCACCAAACCCGATCCTCACTTCTCACACTTGTCTAGCTGCTGTTCGGGGGGGGGGGGGGGGTTCCCACACCTCCCAGAGTACTCCTACAGGCGGGGATGCCCCCCCCCCCCCCCCCCCGCCACCACCACTCCCTGCTCCCTTCTTGTCCCGTCATCTCTGTGACCTCTAGCTGCACACAGTTCAACCCGGCTCCCAGCGCCAGGCCTGCAGCTTGGCACGGAAAGCTGCCCTCTCTTTCCCAGGTTCTGTGGAGTCTGGCTTCTCTCCTGGAGAGCCGTTGGGAGCTTTTCTGGTAAAGGAAAAATCCCTCAGCCTCTGGGAGAAGCCAATGGGATGAGAGAAGAGGGTGGGACCCGGTCCGTGGCGGATGAGTGCTTTCTGGTGAGTGTGGGTACAGAGAGGGTCAGCCACCGGACTAAGATCACATAGAAGTTTGGAGAAAATGCAGGATTGGACCTGTCTCTCTCTGAGGGGCCTTTTCTTCAGCCATTCTGGGTGAGGTCAGCTGGTGCCTGGGCCTAGTGGGCCAGCGTGGCTGTTTTGTGTTGCTTTGGGGGGGAGGGACTTGGCCCTGCTCTGGTAGGAGGCGGCTTGCCTTTGGTTCTTTGATGCTCTTTCTCTGGAACCCCTGGGGAATGCCTGAGTCATCGCTGAGCGGCAAACACATTTAGCCTCTTTCATCGTCCCTAATAAATCAACTTCTCCATTTCTCTCATACCTGCCTCCGACTCCAGGCTGCCTGCCCCCGTCTCCTGCCGCCCGACATCTGGGCACTGCAGAGACTTCCAGCCCCCAGGTTCCTGGCAGTGGTCCCCTGGCCGTTTCCTCTCTCTCCCCAGGCATTCTGGGCCAGGCAAGGCCTCCTCGTGCTGGGCTGGCCTGCATTCAACAGCTGCGGCCCTGGAGCCCTTCAGCGCTTCCTGCACTTAGGAACTGCCTGGCATGGAGGCGGCAGGGGATTAGCAGCATCCGCCCCAGCTCAGCCCTGACCCTGACCACCACCTCAGCGCCCTCTTGGCCCACAGGGGCTTGTGTTGGGGCCCAGGGAAGTTCCCCAAACATCTTACCTCATCCTGTCTCTCACAGGCCAGGTTGGCTGGAGGACCCCAGGCCTTTCCTGGGCTTGTATTTCATGGCACCTCTCTCAGGAAGCCTCCCGATGACCTCCTTCCCTCCCTTGGTGAGTCTCCCCTCCCCCAGGGACCCTTTGTCTCCCTGTGACAGCATCTAGGCTGTGTGCCTTGTGAGGATACTGCAATAAACAGCATGTAATAGACCCCTAAGGAACTGCACATCATTGTCTTCAGCTTTCTGTGTCTGTGTGTGCATGTGTGTGTGTGTGTGTGTGTGTGTGTGTGTGTGTGTGTGTGCATGTGTGTGTGTACTTGCACATATATGCACGTATGTGTGTCACAGCACAGATACGGCCGTCAGAGGACAACTTTCAGGAGTTGGCTCTGTCCTTCCACAGTGTGGGTCCCCGGGTTCTAACTCAGATCCTCAGGCTCAGTGGCAAGTGCTTTTACCCGTGAAGCCACTTTGCTGGCCCCATGGGCCTAAGCATTTCATATATACTTAGCTATTCCCATTTTACAGGTGGGCAGTCTGAGGATCTGAATGCTGAAGAAATTGCTTCAGACGCGGAGAGAGTCAGCCCTTGAACCCAGGCCTCCTCCTGAGTGGCTCTCGTGGCTGCCCTTGCAGCCTCTCACAGTAAGTGGCATGGGGAGACCTGCTGTCACCCTGCTCCTGCTGATCCAGCCTAGGGCAGGAGCTGCACCAGGTCCATGCCTGAGACCCCCTTGCCTGTAGACATCGCCACTAAAGGTTAGTGCCATGAAAAGCATTCTCAGGGAGGAGAATCTAATCCCAAGAGGCGGCAGCCTGTTCTGAGGTACACAGCCAGATAGAGGGTGGGAGAGGCAGGAGCGTGTGGTCCCTGTAAGGGAGGAGGAGGAGGCCCTTACAGGGCTGCTTACGGCCACAGGCCCCAGTCAACCAGGTGTCTCCCGGATCCACGATGCCCACCCCAGGTTCTGTGCTGGTCATGGGTCCAGGCTCTGTCTCTCCATGCGGGAAAAGTGCTCATCTGTGTGTGGTGAGCGCCCCCTGCTGGCCTGATTTACAAAGAAGCAGAAGCCACCCACCCACGAGGGAGGTCGGGACCAGAGTCAGAGGGACCTCCTAGAGTACTGGAGGGATGTGGTCCTGGACCCTCTCCTGCCCCTCGAAATAAATATCTGTCTTCTTGGTCTCACTGTCTCAGAGGCCACCAGACCCTGGAACCTATTGATGCTGAGGCCCCGAGTTTTGTGGGATTTGTTGTTGTTGTTGTTGTTTTCATTTTGTTTTCTAATCAGGTAACTTCAGTCAAACTAACGATTATTATGAAACCAGCGTGTGCCAGGTGCTCAGCAAGTGAACAGTCAGACCTGCATGGACCTCACAGTCTGGCAGGATGAGGTGACTGTAGCACAGGCCTGGCTGCCTGGCCTAGACACCCTCCTCATGGACTGTTCATCGGCTCAGCCCAGTTCTGCACCCTGAATATGCCAGTTTGGCTGGGTCTCACCTGTCTCGCCCATTAGAAAGGAAGGTTTTGTTGTTGTTGTTGCTTTTGTTTGTTTGTTTGTTTGACAGTCTTACTATGTAGTTCTGGCTGGACTGAAACTTGCTGTGTAGATCATGCTGGCCTTGAACTCACAGAGATCCACCTGTCTCTGCCTCCCAAGTGCTGGAACTAAAGGTGTGTACCGCTACACTCAGCATGCTATTTTACATTATTTTTATTATTTATATGTATGTGTGTGCACATTCATGCACGTGTGTGTGTGCTTGTGTATGTGTGTGTGTTTACTGTACACCTGTAGAGGCCAGAAGAAGAGGTTGGGTCCCCCGAGTTACAGGTGGTGTGAGCTGCCTGATGTTGGTGCTGGGACCCAGACTTGGGTCCTCTGGGAAGAGCTGCAAGTGCTCTTAATTGCTGATCCATCTCTCCAGCCTCCAGACTTGAACTTGTTTTGAGGGCAAGGCTGTGACTGTGGTCACAGGAATCCTTGGGCCCCTGGCTCTGTTACAGAGACCTTGGTACACAATAAGCACTTAGTACATGGACCAAAAGAAGGAAAGTATAGGCAAGCTGAGCTGGTTCAGCCACAAGGATCCTCAAGGAAGGCTGTAAAGGTGGGATTTTAGGCAGGGGCTGGGTAACGGAGGCAGGAAGTGGCCTTAGGACTCAGGAGCACTGGACCATGAGCCCAGGTGGCAGGGATTCTGTCTTGGCCTGCCAGCTCCTGGTTCAGCAGGGACACTTTATAAACATCTGTGGGAGGGCCATCAGCAAAGGTTACACCATCCTGCTCCACACTGGTCCCTGAGCCAGCCTGTGCTTGCATCCCTCCAGAGGCAATAGGATCACTACCTCTCTTCTATGTCAGCCACTCTATCTGTAGATAGAGCTGGCTTCTGGAAAATTCTGTCTTCCCCTGGGTGTAGTAGAATCAACTCAGCCTAGCCCCTACCCCTGCCCCAAAGAAGCCCAGAGAAAGCCCAGCTCCTGGGGGAACTTCTGTCCAGCATGGCACCTCCCCCAGTGTCCCGAAGACAAGGTTCTAGGGACCACTGAGTGCTCACTCTTCCTGGATGAGGGGAGAGGATCTGGGAGGGGTTAGGGATGGTAGACACAATCACAGAAAGGACAGCTTTCTGGCCACACGTTGGATCATGAGCTTTATTCTTGCTTCCAAGTGTCAGAACAGGAAATAAACTGATGGCCCCACCACCACCTTGGTGCTGGGAAAGAAGAGAAGGGGGGGCCGGCAAAGGTCCCACAGCCTCTGTGCACACACACATGCTGGAGGCAGAGGAACATTTAAGGGTCATTTAACTCCTAAACGGGGGCAGCTGAGGTGGGCTCAGCTCAAGTCCCCAACTGTCCAGCAAGGGCTCTGCCTGTCGGTGCCCCAGCTCCCAGGAGTATGTCCGTCCAGAGACAGGAGTCTCACCCCTCCTACCACACTTCTCTTCCTGACCTTGAGGAAGTGTGCACATGTGGGCTCCTGCGGAGGATGAGGCAGCCTGGCCACCTCCTGCTTCTGTTTAGGGCCCGGGTTGGCCCAGGACACAGGGAGCCCCGTTTCTTGCAGCCTTGCTGAGGAGTTTTCTGGGGGGTGGGGGGCTCCTCAGGCAGGAGAGAAGGTACAAGCGCTCTCTAGGGGAGAAGTCTCCAGGTGAGGCCTCCCTGGGGACACAAGGGCGTGCTGTGTATGGAAAGCTGGCTTTGTTCTGGCAGGAGGCAGGAACAAGGAACCATTCTGTAGCCCCTCCCTACCCTAGCTTTGCCGGCCGGGCATCTAGTAGTGGTGCCATGGCTTGCAAGAGTCTGTCCAAGCATGATTCCTATGCTACCAGCTGGCTCACTGTGGCCTCCAGGCAGCCCTCCTGGTGGGCAGAGCCCGGAGCGGTTTCTCTCAGCTGTAGCTCAGATCTGCCAGCCGCAGATGCCACCGCTGCCTCGAGGGTCTCTCCTGCTCCTCTTCACAAGTCAACGCCCTTAAAAATGGTGCCAGCAATGTCCTCAGAACCTCCCAGCACAGTCTGTCTGGTTCAGTCACCTGGTGTCCCAGCTCCCCCCGGAAGCCAAGCTGACCAAAGGCAGCCAGGGCCAAGATGTTTCCTGTCCAAACACCGCATTTTGTAAGACCCGGAGAAGGGCTGTGATTCAGCAGAGGGCCGTGTTTGAAGCTTCAGGCTCGGAGCTGGTGTGTATTGCTGGTACCTGGTGCTGGCAGGGAGGGCCTGGCCCAATCTGAGGGGCGGGGTGCCTTTGAACTAGAAGCTTCCAAGGAATCCATGGTCCTCCTGCTGGGGAAGGAGAGGGTGGGACACACTGGTAGTGGGCTCTGGGCTGGCTCATCTTCCCGTCCTCACCCTCAGCTGCAGCGGTCCAGGGTGGAGCTCCACAGGTTCCTTTTGTCAAGCAGCACAGGTATCAGGAGTTTCCCTGTGAGCTCTGTGCCCTCCAAGGTTCCACATCCCCCGTAGCCAGTTCCAGTGATGGGGAGGGGTGGGATTGTGAGCAGGAACAGGTGCAGTGGGTGAGAGGTGTCTGTCCAGCTACCACAGTCCCTACGGGGTTGCCAGAGCCGCCTCCCGGAAGCTCACTGCTTGCTGGCAATCTTCTTTTTCCGAGCAGACAGCAGGTCATAGAAGGGGACACGGGTGATGCTGGCCCTGGGGGTACGGGAGGAAATGAGACTTCAGGGCTTGCTGGAACGTAGGACTTCCGGACTTGTGATTTGGGGGGTGTGACCCCCAGGGAGGTGTTGGCTCACCCCGATGCACAGAAAAGGCCAGGGACTGATATAGGGAAATTCTGCTCTGTGAGCCTCGTCTCAGGCAGGCCCAGCAAGGACAAGCCCTCAGGTTAGGAGGTGGGAGCCCAGCAGAGACCGCCCCGCTCCAGATTCCTTTTCCAGCCCCTTTAGAGAAGCAGGGGGAAGCAAGAAAGCTCATGGCAGAGCCAGCTGGGCCCCTCACTGCTGTGGGGCTCTGGCCAAGGCTCTGCCATCTCTGGGCCTCTCTAATTCTTCAAGTTTCTAGGACATGGTCCTTGTCCAGTGGCCACACATGCCTTCTAGCTGACAGGTCTTCCACTTACCCATGTCTCCCCTCTGGCTGAGCTCCTTGCAAGTTCCCGGGCCCTCCCACTGAGCCCGTGAAGTTGGTTTCTTCCTTCTGTATTAACTAGACTTGACGTGGTGCCTGGCTCAAGAACCTGCCCACCAAAGGCCTCCCTCCAGGAGGGAGACCTGGAGTTCGAGTCTTTACAGACAAGGAAAGAAGACCCCAAAGAAGCAGGAAGGTGACAGGAGGCGTTCAGTGTCCCGGCTGCTCTCACCTGATGGCCTCAATCCACTGGTCGCGCTCCTCGGCATTGGCGGCTGAGATGCGGTAGGACTCATGTTTCCCCTCCACCACCTTACCATCCCCGTCAGTCTTGCACGCCTTTATCTTCTGGCCCCGGCAGCCGGGGTTGTACAGCTCCAGGCAGAACTGTGGGAGGGGCCAGGTGAGGGCAAGGTTGAGGGACAGGCTAGGCCACCCCCTCCCCACGGTGTGTGGGGACACCGAGGCGAGAGCAGCCATCCCACAGAATGCCCTTCCCCCACAGCTCAGGGGGAGAGGACACCAGGCACCTGCTGTGTACCAGGCTCCCTAAAATCCCATGTAACAGGTGGGGGAACCAAGGCTCAGAAAAGTCCCCCAGTTTGTGCCAGAGCCAAGCTCCACAAGACAGCTGAGGCTTGCCCTTTTCAATGACGCTGACCAGCCTGGGTCCAGAGCTCTAGGAGAGAGCCTACAGAATGGGGCCGAGCTCTGCTGGGACCCCCCAGCTTGACTCTCACCGGCTTCTTGGGGTCATCCACCTTCTGCACTGAGAGGTTCTCCAGAGGAATGATCCCCCGAGGCTCCTTGTCCTGATGAAGTGAGGTCAAGGACAGGAAATGTGAGCTTAGGTCCTCCCCAGATCACCTCTCCAGACCTCCCAGTCATAGACAGACATAGCACTAGACCCTGTTTGGGATCTGGGAGACCCAACTAAACTTTTTTTTTTCCATTTTTATTGTATGTGTATGGGTGTTTAGCCTGAATGCATGTAAATGCATCACATGTGTGCAGTGCCCACAACAGCCAGAAAAGGGCGTCAGATTCCCCCCGGGACTGAATTGCAGACAGTTGTGAGCTGCCATGTAGGTGCTGAGAATTGAACCCAGGTCCTCTCGAAGAGGAGTCAGTGCTCTTAACTGCTGGGCCATCTCTCCAGCCTATCTATCTATCTATCTATCTATCTATCTATCTATCTATCTATCTATCTATCTATCATCTGTTTGTCTGTCTGTCTATTTATTTATTTTCTGAGGAAGGATCTTGTTGTATAGCCCAGGTTGGCTTTGAACATGTTAGGACCCTCTTGCCTCTGCCTTCTAAGCACTAGGATTATGGGTATGAACCCCCATGCCTAGCCTTTAGGCAATCCATCCATCTTTGAACAATGATTTTTTTTTCAGTGCTGGGAATTGACCAGGGCCTCACACATGTAAGGCCCACATTCTAACATGGATCTACAGCCCCACAACTTAAAGTCGGTGCTCCCTCTTTCCCAGCCCCTCCTCCTCTTTGCCCCTTAATTCTGTGAAATGGGAGTAGAGGGGGGCTGAGCACTTTGAAAGGGCCCGGCACTCTCTGGTGGTGGCAGCGGCTGGAGGGACCTGTTCATCATGGCTGGTTGTGTTCTAGTCCCACCCCCGACACACTCACAGTGGTGAACTCAAAGTAGTAGAGACAGTTGTCTGTGAGGATGAACCAGCGTCGCTTCCATGTCTTCACACGGCCCCCTGAAAGAAGCCGGCAGAGCGTGTTAGGTCAGCCTTCCTCCTCCTGGGCCACCATGCTCCCCCATAGGCAAGCTGTGGAGCCTTGTGTGCCTCCCCTGCTCCCCAGGCCTCCAGATCCATCCTTTCTAGACTCCAAGCGTAGCAGCTCCCATCACCCCATTGCCTTGCATTTGGGTTCCCAGAGTTAGGTAGAGGGGACAGTGGCCACTGTCACCTGACCCCCACCAGAGTCCACTCAGACCGAGGCTTGCTTTATGTGTTTATGGTGGATAGCATTGACTGTCAAGCTGAGGGAATCCAGAGTCCTCTGGAAACGAGCCTCGGGGCATGTCCGTGAGGAAGTTTCCAGACTGGGTCAGCTGAGGTGGGAGGACACAGTTTAAATGTGGGCAGCCCTGTCCCGGGGCTGGAGTCCCAGAATGAAAAGGGAGAGAGTGAGCTGAGCAACAGCCTTTCACGGCTCTCTGCTTCCTGACTGTGGACACGATGTGACCGGCCACCTCAAGCTCCCGCCACAAGGAGCTCTTCCCTCAGAGTCAAGCACACCTTTCCTTCCTTAAGCGTGTGTGTTAGGCATGTTGCTGCAGCATTGGGAACCGTAGCTAACACAGCTTTATCAGACATGGGAAAAAATGAGGAAGTGAATCCTTGTGGCCATCCAGGAGGAGGAGGGCCACTGGCCACCCCATTCTTATAGATGAGGAAACCAAGGCTGGGAAAAGCTAGACCATGTGTCCACGGTCCTGTGCATTCAAACGCCAACGTTGCTGCCCTGGAGCCCAAGCTTTCAGCCACGTTGCTATGTGGCTAGTACTCTCTGGGTCATGGTCGCCACAGTCCAACTGCAGAAACTGATGCTGAAGAGTGGGGTTGTGAGCTCCGCCATGAGGCTCTGCTGCCCCTCTACTGGCTGGTTTTGTGACTTGGAGATACTCTGGGGGCTGAGAGCTGGTGTCTGGGGCAGTACAGGAGGCCCACAGGCCTGTAGGAGGAGAGGCTGGGGTGTGGTGACACACAGAAGGCTTGGTGGACATCTGGGATTTTTGGGTGAGTCTGCCATAGTCTAGGTACACAGTAAGTGATGGAGACTGCCCAGCTGAGACCCTTCCTCCAAGATGAGGCATTTTTTCTTCACCTACCTCAGAAGACCACAGGCCCTGGCTATCTGGTTCTGCTAGGGTGGCTCCTGGGATTGTTCCTGGAGGAGGCAGGGCTGGCTGCTTCCCTCAGCCACGGGGAGCACTCATCATGGCTCTTTGTCTGAGCTACAATCCCTCTCTCCCTCCTCCTGCTTCAGGGACATCCAGCCCTCAGCTGCCCTAAGTATGACCCTTGCTGGCTGTGTGACCTTGAGAAGATGCCCTAACCCTGCCGAGTCTTGGCTTCCAGAGAATAAACTACCCCAAAATTGGGCTGTTCAAGGACCAGCACCTCATGTTCAATAGTCCTGAACAGAGGGACCCTGCTAGACTCTTCTTTCCGTCCTCTGGGAGAGAAACAGAACTGTCCGTGGAGCCTCTGTCCCCTACTGCTCCCTTACATCCAGCCTCCCCCTGCCACCTGCACCCCCAAGACAGATGGATGGGTAAAAGGGTAGGTGTTTTATGTATACATGAGTGGGTGGATATATGGATGGGTGGATGTACAGATGGATGGGTTGAAGGGTAGGTGCTTTTATGTATACATGAGTGGGTGGATATATGGATGGGTGGATGTACAGATGGATGGGTTGAAGGGTAAGCATTTTTTATATATACATGGGTGGGTGGATAGATGGATGGGTTGAAGGGTAAGCATTTTTTATATATACATGGGTGGGTGGATAGATGGATGGGTGGATGTACAGATGGATGGGTTGAAGGGTAGGTGCTTTTATGTACACATGAGTGGGTGGATATATGGATGGGTGGATAGAAGGGTAGTTGTTTTTATGTATACATGGTGGGTGGATATATGGATGGGTAGATGTATAGGTAGATGTGTTGATGGATGGGTAGATAGATGAATGGGTGATGGGTAGGTGGAAGGATGGATGGGTGGATAAAGGAGTGTGTGGGCCGGGTGGTGGTGGCACACGCCTTTAATCCCAGCACTGGGAGGCAGAGGCAGGCGGATCTTTGTGAGTTCGAGGCCAGCCTGGTCTACAGAGCGAGATCCAGGAAAGGCACGAAGCTACACAGAGAAACCCTGTCTCGTAAAACCAAAAAAAAAAAAAAAAAGGAGTGTGTGGATAGATAGATGGGTAGGTGGGTAGATAGATGGGTGGATGGATAAATGAGTGGAGGGAAGGGTGGATGGATGGATGGATGTATAAGTGGATAGGTGGATAGATGACGAGATGGGTGGGTGGACAGAAGAGTAGGTGGATGGATGGATGGGTAAGTGGAAGGGTGTGAGTGGATAGAAGAGTAGGTAGATGGATGGATGGGTAAGTGGAAGGGTGTGAGTGGAGGGGTCGGTGGATGGATAGATGGATGGATGGCTAAGTGGATAGGTGAATAGATGATGAGATGAGTGGATAGACAGATGAGTGGCTAGGTTGATGGATAAGTAGGCATGAATGGGTAGGGTAATGGGTGGGTATATGGTGGCTCGGAGGGTAAATGAGAGGAAGGATAGAAAGGGTAAGTAGATGCTGGGCTGGGGGCCAGGTGACCAAACACTGTGCAGGTCCACTCCTGAGGTATATGCATGTGTGTCAGCCACACGTGTGCAAGTGAGCTTATCAGAGTGCGTGCACAGAGGTCTTACCCAGCTTGAGTAGCCAACCTTCACGGTCAGGGTTGAAGAAGGTGTGGGTGAGGTCACCGCCATCATCCTCGGGGATGGAGAAGGGTTCACTCTTGATGCTGTCAAAAAGGTTCTGTCCAAGGGGATAGAAAGGATGGATTTAGTCCACTGAGTTTGGGCCCTGGACCAGCTGGCCTGTGTGTCCTTGAGCAGGTCAGCCCTGCTCTCCCAGTAAACCTACTCCTGGGCCATTCTTGTGAAAGCTTCCCTGTCGCCTCAGGTGACTGATGCTCTCCTTTGCACTGGCTACACCCATACCCTTGTGTGCCTTCTCCTGTGTTGCCCCAGGGCAGAGTGAGCAGGGTGGGTGCCTTAGGTTTGCACATGGGGACACAGACACACATCCCCACCCTCCCCGGGCACAGCAGCTGGAGTAGAGACTGCTTCAGGCGGTGCTGATGTTGGGAGATGCCCCTCTTCTACTTCGGTGGACAGTAGACCCTTCTAGATCACACATGCTGGGGCGAGGGTAGAGAAGGCCCTGGGGAGGAGGGAATTGACTGCTTCAGGCTCAGAGGCCCCAGCAAGAGAGGTCCCCAGTGGAGTGCTGACCACAGTGTCTATCCAGGATGGGCTCTGATTACAGGGGTTGGAATGTAAAGGGTCCCCCAAGAGCTGACTTCAGTCCTCCGTGGATAACTGTCTGGTAAAGCTGCTATTATACACAAGGTATGACCCTGGAGGCTAGGGATGGAACCTAGGTCCTTGAGCATATCTAGAGAATCACTCCAGCAACTGAGTCACATCCCCAGGTCAGCATGGGCATTTTAACAGCAGGGGAACTGAGTCACAAACTCAGCGGTGATCATAGGCTAGCTCTCTACTTACTGTATCTTCTTCCATTTCTTTCCTGACTCCAGAGGCTAAGATCTGCAGAGCTGCCAGTCCCAGTGCTGGGGGAGCCCAGTGCCCCAAGGAGATTCAAAACACTCTGGCAGGTCTGCACCCACTCCCTAGGGTAGGAGCTATCTCATCCTTGGCTTGCATACCTTCCTTCCCCTGACAGAGGTCATGGTGGCACATATCTAACGTGTTCCCGCTTGTTAAAGCCAAAAGGCAGTGTGCAGCCATTACCGATCAGTGCATCTGGCTTTGCAGAAGTGTTTCTCAGTATTGCAATGGATGATTTCACACCTTTATGTATATATGGGTGGGTGGATAGATAGATGGATGGGTTGGTAGATGAATGGATGCCTGACTCCCCTTTTTTACTGCCATCCTGTCCTTTGTCCGGGGGTCCCCATGGAGTACAGGCCTAAAGCTAGTTTTCCTGAGTCTACGTAGGTGTGGCTGGAGCAAGCCTTTAATATCCCTCGCAACCTCATGTGGTGTGGGGGGTGAGAGAAAAGTGGGGATCAGCTTCTCTTTGGCTGGGGTGGAGGTAGGGGTGCATGGATGTGGGGGTGGCAGTCTTTACCTTGGGAATCCCCAGGTGGCCTAGCTGGTGGAATCTGAGACAGGAAGGCCCTAGCAGGAGGTGAGCTGTCTGCTCAGACAAGTATTAGCCAGGCCCAAGGAGGCTTCAGGGTGGCAGACGGGGCCTCAGCCTCTGCTAAACCCACAGGAGTACCTGGAAGTTTCTGCGGTCACAGTACCATCGTGTGTATTCCGCCTCACAGAAACAGCAGCACACCCACACTTCCTGTGTCTTGAAAACACCCTGAAGTCCCCGTCACTGAACAAACCACTGCACAGAGACCTCTCAGGGCCCTGGGTGTACAGCATGGCCTTCTTTTCCCTGGGGCTCTGGTGCCCTGTCCCAGGATCCCTTCTCCTCTCTTTTCTGTCTAGGTTGTTCAGTGTGTTGGGCACCCTCCTCCATCCCCAGGTTCCGGGAGGGGACAGTGACTCCGCTTTGGCTGTGTAGAGCCTTGCATCTTATGTGCTACAGGGGCTAGTTTAGATAGAAACACGTGACCCCAACCAGTCACTAGGACTTAATTCCAGGGGTTTAATTTTTCCGGGAGAAGCTATCGGCCTAGAGCTGCTTGGGCATCTTTGCAGTAGCCAGGGTCCAAGAGACAGCCAGTGTGCAAGTCCAGCTTGCTGTGACATGCAGCCTCCTCAGGCCACCGAGCCCCTGGATCTCGCCACACCCAAAGCCAACAGTCTGAAGGCAAAGGGATCCCTTGATATTCTTAGAGATATTAGTTGTGATTCTCCCAGTCAGTGTGGCAGGACAGATAAGGCATGAGGAGACATCACAATTTACATACGGGGCCGGAGAGATGGCTCAGTGGTTAGGAGCACTGGCTGCCCTTCCAGAGGACCCAGGTTCAATTCCCAGCACCCACATGGCAGCTCACAACTGTCTGTAACTCAGATTCCAGTGAATCCGACTCCCTCACAAAGATGCAGGTCAACACCAATGCATATAAAAATAAATTAAAAAAAAGAATTAAAAAAATTTACATATGATGGACCAGCAAGATGGGTCAATGGGTAGAGGCAATTGCTGCCTAGCTGAAGACCTGAGTTCATTTCTTTGGAGGGAAAGAACCAGCTCCTGAAAGTTGTCCTCTGACCTACATACATGTACAGAACACATATGAGAAGACCCTCCATCTCCAAATGGTGGAGAAGGTGTGAGGGACCCCGAAGGAAGAGGACTTGGTGGCCTGTAGCCCTTGACTCTCAGTCCTGTCCCAGCTCTCTCGCCCACCTCCATTCCCAGAAATGCTTTTTCCTTCCTTAATAAACTCTATTTCTATCACGATCCGTGTGTCCCTGGCCCAGTTCTGTGCTCTGGGACACAAGAGCCTGGAAACCTCAGTGGACCCCTTCTGGATTCAGTTCCTCATCTGTGACAGGGGGTGGTAGCATGCTCAGGCCCTCTGTCCTCAAAAATCTTACCTTCTGGTCTCTGCAGGGGGCGGAGCTCTGGAGTCAGACACGGCTCAAGCTGGGACTCTCTTATTACAGACATGAAGTCTCGGGTTAGCTACCTCCAGTGGCACCCTGTGACCTTAGCTGGACCCTGGGAACAGGGTGTGTGTCGGGGGGCACAATGACAGTATGCCTAGGACACTGCTCTGACAGGGAAGCCCAGAACGGCCCGGGGAGAAGCTGGGATTCATCCCTGTGCCCAGCTCCTAACTCTTCACCTAGAACCTTTTAAGTACTGTGTCCCACCCAGCCTGCCTGTTCCCTATAACCACAGTATCTCTCTCATAGTCTTTGCTACAAGAACACCTTCCAGGGCTGTGTGACCCTGGGGTGACCTCTCTTGGGGCATACATCTGTGTAAATTTACTTCTGCCTCTTGGTATACTTTAAAGCATTTTGGGGCTTCCTAGAGAGTTGAGCAACAGTGGTCCATGGAGAACTCACTTCTGCAAAGAGACAACGTGACACTGGGTTCTGGCTTTTTAAAAACATTCAAATGAAGCCAGGGAGAAGGTGAGAGGATCTTGGGTCCACGTGGCTGCCTGTGGAAACCTGGGATGGCTCTCTGAGCAGGCCTGGGCCCTCTGTGACATAGTTGGGGAGGATTCTCTGTTCACCAGCTACTGCCTAGGAGCTCTGCTAACTCCTGCTGGAGGGGTTCCAGAGTCCAGCTGCAGGCTGAAAGTCGGGCAGCCAGCTGGCTGAGGCTCTGCCTGGCTCTGGGCTGCCGACCAGGGCGCCCGACCCCTCCCAGGCCTCCTGGATGGGGTGGAGTTACATGAAGATGACAGAGTAGGCCACCTGCAAGAAAGTTCCAGCCTGGGAACATGAGGAGGGGATGGTGCAGAGGAAGGCAGGGTGGAAGGCAGGAACCATCTGTCAGCAGGAGGCCCTGCACATTCAGGGCACCTGTGGGAGGCATGGTGGTTCTGCCCCCAAGTGTGATGCCTCTAATGTGTGATGCCCCCAAGCGTCATACCTCTGACGCTCCAGTCTGCTTGGAGGGCTGGTTCTTTTTTTGTTTGTTTGTTTGTTTGTCTTTTTTGGCTTCTTTTTTCCTTGTTTGTTTTGAGATGGCATCTTCTGTAGCTCGCCTCAAACAAGCTATGTAGCCAAGGCTGCCTTTAAACTCCTGATCCTCCTGTCTCTACCTCCTGAGTACTGGGATTCTAGGTGTGTGCTACAATGCCTGGTTTATGCTGGGGATTGAACCCAGGGCCTTGTGCAGGCATGGCAAGCACTCTACCAACTGAGCCACATCCCCAGTCTATTCTTAATTATTCTTTCTGATGATATTGGGCTGCCTTTAAGCCTGGGTTGTGAGCAGGGCAGGCCTTGCCCTTAACATTAAAAAAAAAAAAAAAAAAAAAGACTGATCACAGCAGCCGTGATTCAGGCTGATCACCCCCCACTCTAGGAGGGAGCAGTGGATTGAACCCCAGGGAACCACCCAAGGCCACCCATCAGGTGCATAAAGGAGATGGGGCTGACCGGAGCTCCAGGTGGCTCCTGGGGGACCTGTGTTCTGTGGGCTACGGGGATGCAGTGCTCAACTCGGAGGGGCCAGGCTCTGATCTGCGGGCTGTGTCCTTGCTCACCGCTCTGACGACTGTGATCCTGGGGGAACTTTGGCGCTCTGAGTACCAGATGTCTCTTGTCGTCGTTGAATGGTATGACTGTTTCTCACCAGGCCAAGCGTCTGGTGTTTGCAGCCACCTCCTTCTGTGTGCTCCTGAGGCTGGCCTTCAGCACTCAGACACCCTGCCCACATCGACCCCATCTCAGGGCAGCACACTGGATGCTGACTCCTTTCCCAGCTACACTCTGCTTTCTCCTTCTGGGATGCCCTTGCCCTTGCTTCTCCAGTAAGACTCTTGTACTGGCTGGTTTTGTGTGTCAACTGGATACAGCTAGAGCCATCAGAGAGGAAGGAGCCTCACTTGAGGAAATGCCTCCATGAGATCCAGCTGTAAGACATTTTCTCAATGGTTGATCAATGGGGGAGGGCCCAGCTCAAGGTGGGTGGTGCCATCTCTGGGCTGGTGGTCCTGGGTTCCATAAGAAGGTGGGCTGAGCAAGCCAGGGCAAGCAAACCAATAAGCAGCACCCCTCCTCTGCATCAGCTCCTGCCTCCAGGTTCCTGCCCTGCTTGAGTTCCTGTCCTGGCTTCCCTTAAGTGATAAACCCTTTCTTCCCCCAACTTGCTTTTTGGTCAGGGTGTTCAGCTGCAGCAATAGAAACCCTAAGACAAATCTTATCCAGTTGTCTAAGCCCAGTATGGAAGCCCCCTGCCCCAGCCAGGCTTCTGGTTGACACTTTTGCCTGTCCCCCAAGATGGCAGCAGCACACCTCTCTGTAGTAAAGCTCCCACAGTCAGCATGGGTGACATCAGTGGGCTTCGGGGGTTGAGTGTGGGTGTAATTCATGTGTAGATCCCTGGGACTTGGTCTAGGCAGGATCTGTATGGAGTCATCCCTGGGTCCCTATGCCCAGAACACTGGTGCAGTGTAGTGGGAATGGGGTGTTGGGATACGGGGACAAGAGACTTGGGACTAGCCTTGCTGTAGAGCTAGTGGGGACTTTTGGGAGACTGGCTTTCTCCCTCTGAGGACCATAGCCAAGCATTTTCCCCTGAGTTACAGAGAAGCTGGGATTCTGTGCTTAGGAGGCACTGTCCTCTTTTCCTGGGGGGCTCAGGATGGATCCTATGGCCTGTGCATATGCCTTTGAGCCACACTCCCAGCCTCAAGTATTATTCGGGGGAAGTGTAAATAACGGCTGGCCAGGGTTCCCCAAAATCTAAATCTGAAGGACTTCCTGGGGTCCACCTGCAGCCATCCTTGTCGAGATGAGGTCATGTTGAGGAGGCCACCTCACAGCAGTGACTAGCCTGGCGGACCCTCGCACCCGGGATGGGACTCCCAGAGGACCAGTAAGATACTATGTTCTCACCCTCAGCTGCTCCTCAGGCAGGTCACTGCCATTGTTGATACCGCGATTCATGGACACGAAGCGCTCGAAGGGCGGTCTGTCCCGGACGTTGGGGTTGTGTAGGCCGGTGTTGAGCATGATGACGGAGAAGGACAGGACGTAGCAGGTGTCTGTGGAAACTGGCACTGGTCACAGTCCTGGCCCAGGTCACTGTCCCCCTCCTCTGTCCCAGTCCTAGCAAGGCCCTGAAGGTCCGCCCCGCCCCTGGCTGAGCGTGGCGGCAGACGTTCAAGGCCCAGCCTCTCCTGCCACTCCGGCAAACTTCAGCTGCAGCTTCCGCAGCTCTGCCCCCTGCGGCTCTGCCCTCCTTCCCTTTCAGATCCTGCTTGCCATCAGCTGCAGCCCTTCCAGGCCCGCCCACTCTGTTCTCTGCCTCCTGGGAACGGGAGCTCATTGTCAGCCGCCCCGTTAGTTAGTGGCTTGTTCTAAGCTGCCTGGTGGGTCTCGTTGCCAGCAGTCTGCTGCATTGTGCAGACGTGCGTGTGTGCAGGCTTGGGGGTGTGGCTGCCATTCGGGGTCTTCTGAGGATCCAGAACCTGAGGGGGCAGTTCCAATGCCCTGACCTTCAGCCTGCCCACGTGACTCTCGAAAGCTGATATTATAGGAAGCGGTGATGATTCTCCTTTCCACAGCAGTGGCCCCGTCCTGTGCTCAGCTCTCGCACCTCCAGGCCTATCCTGGGAGACAGGTGCGGTGGCTACACCTCCATCTTAAAGATGAGACACGGAGGCACAAGGAGGTTGAGTCACGTGCTCCAGGTCACGCAGTGACAAACTGATTGGCTGATTAAAATGCCTTCCATTCAACCTAGCCTGACTGACTGGACTGCCTGACACAGGGTCTCACTTGAAACCCAGGCTAAGACTTGAACTGGCAGCAATCCTCCTGCCTCAGCCTCCCTAATGCTGATTTTATAGGTGTGTGCCACCACCCCTGGAAGTCGCAGGCGACCAAGAGGAACTGATGTCCTGCCCTCATCGAGTGTTTAGGTGTGTGAAACCTGCAGGCAAGCAAATGCCGGTTCTTAGGTCGTGGCCAAGTGTGGCAAAAGCTCTCTGCTGTCCTCCGCACAGCAGAGAGGGAGCAGTCTGCCCTGGGACAAGTGGCTTCCCGTCGGACTCTGGCTCTTGCTTCACCAGGGACAATCTGCTGCTGAGCTTAGGGAGTGATGTTGGGATTTAATGACCCTGACAAGAAGGTCCAAAGGCGCATTGCGTATGAAGTGCCGGGAACACGGGAACCCCCTCACACGCTTGGCTATTGCTGTGTGGTAACTCTTGAGCCAAAGAAGAGGCATGGTAGGTGGGGCATGGTGGCCCCCATCCTGTCCCTATTTCAATATTTAGTGTCCCTTGGAGATGGAGGTATGGGAGACTGCGCCTGTGGATCACCGCCATGCCCCTTGCCCCAAATCTGCCCTTCCAAGGATGCACTGGGGTCTTTAAGTGAGACATTAAAGCATCTCCCCTTGTAACTTCCTAGAGAACTCCTAGTTACTCTTGAAAACCTCGCTAGACCATGTTTCCTCCCAGAAGCCTTCCTGTATTCCACACTGCCGCACGCTGCACCGATTTTCCCTGCCCCTTCCCCCCAGGACCATGCTCCAGACAGGCATGGAGTGTGAGGAGCTTGTCACCTGTGGACCGGAAGACACCTGGGTTACAGAGGCAGTAGCGAGCAGCAAAGGCCTCCATCATGCGGTCAATCTTCTGGGCCTCACCAGGCAGCCGGAAGCTCCACAGGAATTGCCTAGGGGGACAGGGCCATGGTCAGGGAGTCAGGTGGGGCCCTCAGTGGCACCTGCCACTGAGAATGAGAACTCTGACCTCCTCTAGGCCC